AAATAGCCATTTTTCGACCTAGAAAAGTACTATTAGATTTCGCCGAAGCCTAATGTGTTTCATATCAATGGAAAGGCCGTGACCTCCTTTCTTTATTTGTTCTAAAATTAAAGGACCAATCAAAATACCTATTTTAATGTGATTATTTGTCGTCGTCATAAAGTTGTTTATTTTACTCACTTGGGTTTTTCCGGTATGCAAATTTTTGACCTCAATTTTCTCATTGGCATTCAACGGCGGAAGCTAGTTAGCGATTGGTCGTTTCGCTTCGGAAGTAAACATTCCCTTAGTTTCAGCGCGTTGCTAAGTTTGATCTAGTTTTGTTTCTCTAAGCTTCTGTGAAATACTTACATTATTTTAACATATAATTATTTAAATTAAATATACTTTTAACAGTTTAGATTAGTTTGTGTGAATTATCATAAGCAGTGAGACGATTTAATTTGTTTCTCTTTCGATAATGGGTAGAGCAAAACACTCGCTAAAAAAAGATACACACATCTAACGAATTTACTAAAGCAAGGGCACGTCCGAATGCAACTGATTGCATCTACCTCGACTCAATCTAGCACTATTCACACAAGCACTGGTGCAGATGTAATATGCACATTTACTAAGAAACTGCGGCAATTGTAATATATTGGGATTTGTGAGGTCAGGGGAACTCACTCTTCTTGTATTAGTTATATTTATAATGTTGTTATTGAGTGATGTCCCTTGTATTTATATATTGTTACTTCCTGTTCCGGTCTCCATCATGTTAGCTGAGGCCCAATAAAATCTATATACAAACAGCATGGCTTCTCGTCAGTGTATTATAATAGAACCACTCCAATCTACCTCAATTGGCGACGAGGATAAATAATCCACTAGAAAGAGCACCTACTTACTCAAAAAGAGGTTTGCTAGAGCATATTGGCTAAGTATTTCTAGAATAATGGCGCTGTATGGCCAAATAAAAGAATTTGATTCGAATGATGAAATCATTCATGATTATCTAGATAGGTTAAGCTTTTACCTTGAAGCAAACAACGTGACGATAGAAGCCAAAAAGAGAGCTGTTTTGTTAACAGTCATAGGGCCTCAACAATTTAGGCTACTAAAGGACTTATGCGCACCAGCTAGTCTAACTACCAAGAGCTTTAACGAGCTGAGCAAATTGCTAACAGACCACCATGCGCCTACCCCATCAAAGTTTCTATGTAGAGCTAGATTTGACAGTAGGACGCGTCAACCAAACGAGTCAATATCAGAATATGTTGCTGCTTTACGTCATTTAAGTAGATTCTGTGAATTCGGAGAAACGCTGTCTGACAGACTATGTGAAAAGTTTGTGACAGGTGTAAACAGCCCTGATGTTCAAAGAAAGTTGCTGCTCGAGTCAGATCTAACATTAGAAAAAGCAATACAACTTGCAACTTCATTACAGCAGTCATCAGATGCGGCGAGATCTCTAGCACCTTCAGAGATCCATGCAGTAAACAGCAGGTTAGTCAACAAACACCAACCCCATAAGAGCATTCCAACTTATGCTAAACAGCCTGCACGTCTAAAGCCTAGATCTAAATCTAGTAATAATTATCAAAAATGTCATCGATGCAAAGGTCCCCATGCATCTCATCGGTGCAAGTTCAAGTCTGCAACTTGTTATAAGTGCAGTAAGCAAGGTCACATTGCCAAGGCCTGCTTTGCAAAGTCTTCGTCTGTTGCTAAATCTAGCCAGTCAAGACAGTACCGCAACCAAAGGCAGCACTATGTTAACTCTCGCCAAGACTACCTAACCCAACCAATGAACCACTCTACCTGTGAAAATGCTCAAACTGATTCGCAGCCGGATTTCAACCTGTTCTCTGTGAAATCAATAAGTCATTCTCCCATCAATGTACTAGTTAATATCAACGGTAAGAGCATCAGCTTCCAACTTGACACTGGAGCATCTCTAACAGTCATCACAAAAAAGGACTTTGACATCATTGTTTTGTATTTTAATTATGTTGTAACATATTGTGCATTGTTTGTAAGGATGTAATCTACCATAGAGTTCATGTTACAATATAATTGGTGATTTTAGGATACTGCAAATTGTTCTATTGAGAGATGTGTTGTGTTTACTAAGGGTAAAGGGATGTAATATAGTGAGACTTGTGAAGTCAAGGGAACTCACTCTTCTTGTATTAGTATTATATTTATACTGTTATCTTGAGTGATGTCCCTTACATGTTTATAAATAATTGTCTCTCGTCACTTCCGCCCTCTCTCTTCCATCATGGCTGAATAAAGGCTTGTTAACAACCAACGCGGCTTCTCGTCAGTGTTTCCAATCTATTATATCAATGTAGACAGTTTTTACAGACAGAAGAAAGCACTGTTACATCTAGTATGGTAGTGCTAATTGTAAACAACAGCCATGCAGAATTATTGTCGACTGTGATTTGCTTCTTGATGTTATCAATAAATTTCCTTGCCCAGAGTGTAACTGTGATGTAGTGGCTACTATTGATGAAAAAAGTGTAAAGGGTTTGCTTCAAGCATGGTGTGGCAGTTATAAAAATGTTGTAAACCGTAAATATACAACTGCAAAAGAATCCAGAACAAGGCCATTCACAATAAACAAAGACATCGTCTTATCATAATTGGCTTTAGACATGAGACCATGCAAAATATACTGCTGTTTCTGCGATAGCATAATTCAGTATTGGGACCATGCATGCTATGGCATTGCTGTCAAAAGAAGGAAACCATAGTCGAAGACTCAGTGAAGGACGCCAAAAAAGACGCCTTCACAACAGCTTTACTACAGCTCTAGGTAAAACAAAGAAAGCCAGAAAAAAAGGAAACTAACAGCTGAACAAGCTCAGAAGGAATATATTCAGCAACACCATACTTCAGGCAATAAATGTGGTCAATTTTAGTGACATACAGCTGTAACTTTTCTTTTTTTGCAACTTTTTGTTGGTTTTTTTGCGTTTTTCTCAGTTTGATACTTTTGTGTACAATTATTGAAATAACTTTGTTAATAATTATCAGAACTGAACTAAATTTGCTACAGTTACTCTGTATATATGTTCAAATAAAACTGATAGAACACTTTTGGAAATTTAAAAAAAAAATTGTATTGTTGAAATAGTGAAAAAAATTGACGAAATAATGAAATTTTTACAGCGATGTATGGGAAAAAAAAGTAAAAAAAAAACTATCTTCTATTTTGAAAATGTAATCTATCAGAAGTGTTAAACACATGTGTCTCAAGATTATATTAAGTTTTTATGAAATTTGTACAAACCATTTTTGAGTTATTTCCATTTAAAAATCGTCAATAAAATCCAATATGGCCGCCGTCACCATGGCAACGGAGGATTTAAAAAATGAAAAAAAATATTTTTATGCTTATCTCTTTGAGTTCTAACTATTAGCCAAGTATTACATCTTTAGACTCGGAAATAAGGAAGTTGGTACTCATCACCCGCCCATGCCTATCTCATTACCTACCCCCACCCACCTCTGCCTGATGTTTATCTTGCCTAAACCAAATGTTTAGGTTGCCTAAACCAAATGTTTATGTTGCCTAAACCAAAAGTTTATGTTGCCTAATTCAAATGTTTATGTTGCCTAAACCAAAAGTTTATGTTGCCTAAACCAAAAGTTTAGAGTGGCGTGCTTTATATTTCTTCAAAAACCCAGGCTTTTGTTGTTTTCATGGCGTGCTTTATATTTCTTCAAAAACCTAGGCTTTTGTTGTTTTCATGGCGTGCTTTATATTTCTTCAAAAACCTAGGCTTTTGTTGTTTTCATGGCGTGCTTTATATTTCTTCAAAAACCCAGGCTTTTGTTGTTTTCATGGCGTGCTTTATATTTCTTCAAAAACCTAGGCTTTTGTTGTTTTCATGGCGTGCTTTATATTTTTTCAAAAACCTAGGCTTTTGTTGTTTTCATGGCGTGCTTTATATTTCTTCAAAAACCTAGGCTTTTGTTGTTTTCATGGCGTGCTTTATATTTTTTCAAAAACCTAGGCTTTTGTTGTTTTCATGGCGTGCTTTATATTTCTTCAAAAACCTAGGCTTTTGTTGTTTTCGTGGCGTGCTTTATATTTCTTCAAAAACCCAGGCTTTTGTTGTTTTCATGGCGTGCTTTATATTTTTTCAAAAACCTAGGCTTTTGTTGTTTTCATGGCGTGCTTTATATTTCTTCAAAAACCTAGGCTTTTGTTGTTTTCAAGGCGTGCTTTATATTTCTTCAAAAACCTGGGCTTTTGTTGTTTTCATGGCGTGCTTTATATTTCTTCAAAAACCTAGGCTTTTGTTGTTTTCATTGATCTTAAAAGCGTGTTGACAAAGACAATGGATGGTTTTACAATAGAACCAACCATGCATATCCTTGCACTTTCGTGTGTTTACAAAGCACGGGAACCTATGTAACGGGATATAGGACCCAATATGACCCACTCTAACACAACATTAAACAGCAAAACACGGGAACCTATGTAACGGGATATAGGACCCAATATGACCCACTCTAACACAACATTAAACAGCAAAACACGGGAACCTATGTAACGGGATATAGGACCCAATATGACCCACTCTAACACAACATTAAACAGCAAAACACGGGAACCTATGTAACAGGATTCTGAATACAAATCCGTTTTCAATTACATTTTTCGTTTCCAGTTAGATTTGAAGTTGAGATGGTGATTTTGGTTTTAGTGTGGAGAAAAAGACAACACTAACAACCTAGCGCCCGTTGTATTTCTCCTTCAACCTGCCATTTCTCTCGTGATATAAATAGTATCCCAATTAATTTGTTTTAAATACTTACTTACAACAAATGTAGCCACTGCCATGAACAGCACAAGAATTACTGCTACAACAAAGAATGTGTTGTTGCTGCTTTCATGTTGACTGTGGCTTTCTGATGCTTTAAAAATATAATCAGAGGTTAAAAACAAAATATAACGTGTGTCCACAAGCTTCGAATAAGTAAAAAAAATTAGAACGACGCTTGTTTTCCCACATTAAAATAAATGCTTGTGTTGGTAACAGAAATGTAACGTCAAAATGTTCCACTGGTTAAGCGTAGTTTTCCTTTTAATTTGCAGCATACATTTAACTGGTAAGTAATAGCTATAGATATTTTACATCACACATCTAGAAATTGTATGTTTAGAGAGGAGTTAATGACAAAAATCGATTTATTGTACTTTAGCAACCATCCTAGGCCCTCTATACCCATATATATATATATATATATATATATATATATATATATATATATATATATATATATATATATATATATATATTTTAAACAGCATGCACAAAAACATGTGTGTACGCAGTGGCGTAAACAGGATCGTCTCATGGGGGGGGTTCAAAATTTTCCATCATTTGTATATATATATATATATATATATATGTATATATATATATATATATATATATATATATATATATATATATATATATTGAATGTATGTCATTGCTTCGCTATGATGTAAAAATATACACACAATACAATGAATAACAATGAACGATACGCAATATATTTTGTAATCATTGTAAAAAAATTGACATAATAATTGCTGGAATATTAATTAAGAGAAGCGAACTAGGGTAAACAGGGGCGGAACTACCATGCCGCAGGAACCCCGGGAGGCCAGGACATTTAGGGGGCCCATTGCCTACCAATAAACAATGACTTTTCTTTTCATTAATAATGTTTTTCGTGCACCTTGATAGTGATTTTGTAAAAAAAAAACATGTCTACTATAGCAGTGATTGCTCTACAGTAGCTAACACACACTGTTGCGTAGAAAAATATTTTTGAATCTACAAGGGCTATAGTTTGAAAGATAGGCAAACCTTAACACTACTTCCATGACTTATTGCCCTTCTTTAAAATAGGGGTGCCCATAAAGCTCATTTAAACAGTTGTGTACTATGTAAATTAAAAAGCAATTCATTATCTTAACTATTATTTAAATAAGACATAATAAAGAATTGTATAGCTATATAAAAATGAAGGTATTCAAATTTAATAATACTAATGTTTTTAAATCATGAAAATAAACTTAACGCGAGAAACCATTGGACAAATCAAGTTTATATACTTTTGACCAGCTTGCTGTTTCAAATAATTATTTTCACAATTTTCGATGAGCATAAATGCTACACAAATAATTATAAAACACTCGTTTTTTCGAACACTTGTTCATCAACAAAGAAAAAAAATATGTCTAGAAAAGGTGGTAAAGGAGATCTCTTAAAATACCCCAGTTTGCCCCAACTATACCCAGAGAACAGAATCGAATACCCAAATGATGCAGATGAGTCGAGATTTCATCCTAGACAAGAAACTGCACCATGTAGTGTAACAGACACCCTGAACATTGCGCGGGAAAATGCGGAAACTTCCACAACTGTGAGAACAACAACTTCATTAATAGATCAACATCCCGGGGTTTTCACCGGGGCAACACCACAAGAACACCACAAGAACACCACAAGAACACCACAAGAACACCTTAAGAATGATCATAAAAGTTAGCAAGATGAAATCACTCTAGAAGAGATCTTTGTCTACGATACACATACTAGTCACCAATAAGTCACCTTAAATGGATACCACCAATTTTTAACAAGGACATGGTAAACGACATAGTGACATCCATTTCATAACCAGATAGATGATTACAACTCTTAAAATCGGAAAAGGAGACAGCTGGGCAATTGATTTTTGCCCTAACACCCAGCCAACGAATTACCACACTTTATTCAACTGGAAATAGGCGATGAAACCTATACAATTCTCCTGCAGTTGAACAGTAGGAAGACAATATGCTCACTTTGTTCGACTACAAAACACGGCCCTTTAGCATGTAGGAACCCATTCGTAAGGGAAAGAGACAATATCTGTGTAGACGAAGAAGGCAATCATTACGAAGGTCAAGATCAGCTACAAACTGAAGACGAATATAATGACAGAAGTTTAACAGATGATCAACTATCAGCGAAACCAGCCACAGACCCAGCACAAGATGAACTTTGTACAACACTAGTCAACAGAAAATCAAAGCTTGCCAAGACAGGCTACGCCGATCACATAATTACAACCGACACAATACAGAGCCCGACACGCCCAGCCACAAAGAACAGGCGTCAAACGCAAACCTACTACCAAACCATCCCCACTGATTACCACGCAGAACAAGCAAAACCCTAACCCTAACCCGACCAGACGCGGAAAAACAAGGAGTATTTCTGATGTCTGCCCCCCCCCCCCCTTTCAACCCATAACCTATGACCCCAGTGTAACACTGTCAGAACGGCACGGGTTTTGTAATTGTATTAAATATAGACGCTGCCAGCCATGAGAAGTCACTTTATTGGAAACATCAGTGGTTTAGAAAAGTATCACCTTATTAAAAGGGTAAGGCATTTAAGATAAACAATACTAAGTAGTAAAGAGGTTGTTATGGACCGCTCCCCGACAGCCGCGGAGGGAGCGGACACCCCAGGTTCGTTTGGTATGGTACCGATAGAAGTCACTTTAATGGAATCCCAACAACTTGCCGTGAGCTCGTTAATGTTGTCTAGGGGTAAAACACGACAAATCGAAGAGACTCAACACGACTTAAACTATCAATACCTTTTTAATAAATGTACAAGCTATGACACTAGGTAAGTTCAAAATGTACAGACTCTAAGAGTACAATAAATAAGCTCAAAAACTCCAACTTACAGTTTGAGAAAATCACAATATATCACAGCTGTGGCTTAGTAAATTATACACCAATACAGATCAATACTTCACACAACTGAATGGCATCATAATGACCACAAAAAACCAAGAAGAGACGTATAGCCTCTACAACAATAGAAATCCAAATAAAGGAAAAAAATAAAACCGAAGTAATCAAAAAGGTGCAATAATACACCAGAACAAAATAGTTGAAATACTACAACTTGCCACACAATACCTTATACAAAGGTGATAAAACATTTCACATAATTACAATACTGCAAAGTGGCGTACATAACCACCGGCACAACTCTCCTGGTCCAAAGGTCAATCTGGCTGCCTCTAGACATGAAAAAACCCGAGATTAAATACAACTCAGATTAAGGGGAAATAACTCAAAAGTCTTAAGACTATTGGTTGAGGATCTGTCAAGGATCCTCACGGTCGCAAGATCATTGGTTGAGGTTCTGTCAGGGATTAAAAATACAATCACCTGATGTGACAGAGTTCAGTTGACCGATTCGTACCAGTGAACTGACAATTCTCCCAAGGACAAATACATAACTCAGGAGATTAAATATACATAAAGCAAAAAGACCTAAGTAGGTCACAAGGTAATCTGACATCTTTTGAACTTTGGATGTTTAGTAAACTTTTTTTTGTTACAGCTTTGTAATTTATGGTTATTCGTGGTAATCAACACCTTATGATTATGATTATTCCCCCTTTTGTTTTTTCCATTGGTTTTTGTATATACCAAAGTTAACTATTTATTTAACTTTGATTAATCTATTCAATTATTATTAACCTATCAATGGTAAGTAAATTCTGTTATTGTAAATATGTAGTCATTTGTTTTATGGCAAATAAAAGTTTTTTTTTTTTTAATTATAAAACACGATTATTTCAGGCTCGAAATAAGTTTGGGCATAATTTTATCTGGTTTGTTGTCTCAGGGTAGTTATACGTTGCAATGAAATACGTTAAATTATGCAGGAAATAGATTGTATAAAATTTAGTGACGCATTCTACTTATATATATATATATATATATATATATATATATATATATATATATATATATATATATATATATATATATATATATATATATATATATATATATATATATATATATATATATATATATATAAAGGGGTGAAGCAATAACTTTTTGCGGGGGAGCCTTTTTTCTAGTTCCGCCCCAGTGAGGGAAATAATCACTATCTTAATAAAGAAATGTATATGTCGGCACATTTCATTGTAAATGTCAAAACACATCAGTTCGTGGTGGGTTGGGGGGGGATCAACTTCATTCATTACTGTCACTAGGTGTGACATTACTGTCACTAGGTGTGACATTAATGTCTCTCTACACAATTACGACCTGTCCAGTTATGGTGGTGAGGTGGTGGTGGTGGGGGGATATAACTAACTCAGAATGAACATAGCGTCAGAATTTAGGTGACTGTTCTAAACATACATATACAAAAATGCATTTATACTGATTCAGAAATAGATTTAAATAGGTAACAGTGGTATTATGGCAATTAAAATTGTTTACAGAGGGGTCCATGGGGGGAGGGGTTCTCTGCATCCGCCACTGCGTGTACGTGTATCTGTACATGTACCTGTACGTGTGCATGTACGTGTTACTTGGGAATAAATTTACGCTTCTATTTATCAGAGATTTCAAAAACACAGGGTTTTATAAATGACAGCGAATCTTAATCAAACGACATTAGAAATGTTTACCATGACATTTTAATAATGTTATTGTCTGCACATGTTGAAATGAAGAAAATGCCGTAGGCATCAAAAGTTAATTAATTACTAGCAATAATAGTTAACCATGCAAATTCAATATTTTACCAGAAGCTACAAGCGGGGTAGAATTAAAGATCAATGGCCGTCCATGTGGATTTGAACAAGAACCAATCGTCGTAGAAAAAAACAAAGAAATGTCTCTTGAATGTAGCTTTGTGAATAAAAACAGAATTGGCAAGCTCGAAATAAAGAGAGAGAACGATGTCATTGTGACATTCGAAGACCAGAACAGTATTGAATACACAGTTGGTGAAGTGAAATGTTCACACATGACCAGCTATTATTGTGTGTCTGGGGAAGATGTACAACGTGTAGATGTAGCTGTTCTATCATGTAAGTACAGTACACAAGATGTACAACGTGTAGATGTAGCTGTTCCATCATGTAAGTACAGTACACAAGATGTACAACGTGTACATGTAGCTGTTCCATCATGTAAGTACAGTACACAAGATGTACAACGTGTAGATGTAGCTGTTCCATCATGTAAGTACAGTACACAAGATGTACAACGTGTACATGTAGCTGTTCCATCATGTAAGTACAGTACACAAGATGTACAACGTGTACATGTAGCTGTTCCATCATGTAAGTACAGCACACAAGATGTACAACGTGTAGATGTAGCTGTTCCATCATGTAAGTACAGTACACAAGATGTACAACGTGTAGATGTAGCTGTTCCATCATGTAAGTACAGTACACAAGATGTACAACGTGTAGATGTAGCTGTTCCATCATGTAAGTACAGTACACAAGATGTACAACGTGTACATGTAGCTAACTCTAACCCTAACCCTAACCATCATGTAAGTACAGTACACACGCACAGCATAGCAGTCTATTTATATGTTTGCTTCATATGTATAGTTAATTGTTTTTTATCACACATTTTAGGCCCATTGAGATTGTGCCCTGTTCAAAAGATTGAGGACTTGACAGCTGTAGCGGATCCTGGTGAAAATGTCACATTAGATATTTGCGTAACTGTATTTGCTAAAGATCAAAATACAACTACATTAAGCATAGACGGAATGAACATCATACATAAACAAGCTACTAACACTGAGAAGTACAGTTTTGAAATAACAGTTAACAAAAACTGTTCAAACTCATTAAACATCTATATACATATAAAGAACATCATTAACGAAGATTATGGAGTAAAAACTATTGAAATAAAAATGCCTCAAAAAGAGAATTTAATTTTTGATTTTCATTTAAAGAAAAAGAACGGCTTAAGTAAGTATAAAAATATCCCTTTTTTGTAAAAGATTTGGGGATTTTTGTATCATATTAGCACAGAACTAATTCATGATTTCAATTCTTTTCGCAGAGCCTAAACAAGTACAATTTACATTGAATGGTGCAATTATAGAAGACAACCTTGCTAATTATTTTGATATTGATGATGCCGTGTCACTGAAATGCAGATTTGTTGATAGGCAAGAACGTGGCAACTTCACCATAAAGAAAAATGATGTAGAATTTTTGACAGCAGGAGAAAATGTGAGCAGTGTTGAATTTAAAATTGACAAGCTTAATTGTTCACATATGGGCAGCTACTCCTGTATAGCTGGGGATACCACCAAAGAAATTGATCTTGTTGTCGAGAAAAAAACTAAAATGTGTAAGTTTTCTGCGTTTAAAATTGTATTCCAAGCTTGTGGATAATATTTAATGAAAGTAAAGAATTTTATACTGACTAAATTAGTACATTAGAGTATGCAACTATTAAAGTATTAAAGTTATTCTAATGTTTAAAACTTGTAGGTGAACCAAGACTGTGTCCGAATTACACTAGCAGTGTTTCACTGACGGCTGTTCCAGGACAAAATCAAACATTTAAAACCTGTGTAATTGGTTATAGGAAAACAGAAAACTTCCCTGTTCTAAAAATTGGCGATAATTACATTTTCGAATCGACGTTAGACTCTAAATATGGCATAAAGTCAACATCAAAAAGAAATGGTGTAATTAAACTGATTATCCACGTTATTATCAACAACATAAGTGAACAAGATTATGGAGAGAAAAACTTTGAGCTTATTTTATCTGATAAACAACGTTTAGAAATACCAGTGCAACTTATCAAAGCTACAATAACTGGTAAAGTATATTTTTTTTTTAAATTCCAATTTGATTTAAGTCTATTATTTAATAAAGAGTACCATTGACTTACTTGACTTAGTCCTCTTTGCTCCTTATGAAACATAGGGCCTCCACCATTTTCTTCCATTTCTTCCTATCCCCGGCTATTACTTTTGCAGTCTCCCAAGACATCCCTGTTGGCTTCAGTTCTTAGAAAAGACTCCGCCTCCAGGTCTGTCTTGGGCGCCCGCTCTTCCGCTTTCACTGGGGGGTTCCACTCAAGCGCTATTGGCACCGGATAAATTTGGGGTTCAATTCAAGCGCTATTAAGTATCAATAGGTCCGGATAAATTTGGGGCTCAACTCAAGCGCTATTGGGTACCAATAGGTCCGGATAAATTTGGGGTTCCACTCAAGCGCTATTGGGTATCAATAGGTCCGGATAAATTTGGGGTTCAACTCAAGCGCTATTGGGTATCAATAGGTCCGGATAAATTTGGGGTTCCACTCAAGCGCTATTGGGTATCAATAGGTCCGGATAAATTTGGGGTTCAACTCAAGCGCTATTGGGTATCAATAGGTCCGGATAAATTTGGGGTTCCACTCAAGCGCTATTGGGTATCAATAGGTCCGGATACATTTCAGACTTCTTGTGGTTGCTGTTTTTGTTTTATTTTTTTTATTTCAAGGAACCAGCAGCGAGTTAGAAAATGTAAAAATAGTTCCATCATATATTCTTTTAACCAGCTCATTTTATATTTTGAATCCTTTTTTAATCTATATTTTAAAAGTCATCTACACATAATAGAAAGTTTACTATTTGAAACGTGTGAGTTTCTTTAATCTAGTGTCTACGGAATCTTCAAGTACAACGGAAACCACTTCAGTTAACGGAGGTAATGTTACACTATTTACTAACAAAACCTAGATTTTGTTTTTTAAGCTAAAACATATACTACTTATATTATCAATAGAACTTATATATATATATATATATATATATATATATATATATATATATATATATATATATATATATATATATATATATATATATATATATACATATATATATATGTATATATATATATATATATATATATATATATATATATATATATATATATATATATATATATATATAATTAAAAAGTAATTATTTTGTTACCATTTAATCAATAAGAAATGGAGCTCATACAATCGACCCCCGTGAGATACGCCCAAAACCAAGAAGATGACCACAAAGTGCTGATCATAGCCACCGTATTAGGAGCTCTGGTTGTATGTGTTATAGCTGGTAACTCAATTTCTTTTTGTTTTGTTGGTATGGCCTAGTAGTGTAAAATACATTAATTGTCAGTTAAAACTATAATGTAAATAATAAAGCTGTTAAATGTGTATTAATCAATTTTTAAACATTCATATGAGCATTAAATAATACATTGTCGTTAGCATGTCAGATGTCTCTAGTGTGGTAGCTTATTTTATCACCCCATCGAAAATAGTTACAAATGTTCATCACTCGCATCTATTTTTGTTTTATTTCAACTGAATAAGAAGTAAAGAGGGGGGAGTAGATGCTCCGGAAAAATCGACTTTGGTGGACAAGGGAGAGAAATGGTGTTCGTCCTCATTGTGCGTTTAACATCGAAATACTTACCAATTGAAAATAAAATAAACCGCGAGTGATCTCCCCTAAACTTTCTCGAATATTCTTATATAACACAACGGGGGATGGCAACTCGGGATATAGACACGATTTTTAATCCATTTTTAATTACTTACAATTTTTTAAATAGTATAGAATATCGTAGAAAAAAAGAACTGCGCACCAAGTGAACGCCAAAGAAAATGTATATAATAGTGCGGAATACTATTAGTACTTTATAAATTCACGTGCGTATTTTTTTGAGCAATCGGAAACAGCGTAAAATATTCTTTCCGGTCAATTTGAGAGAAGGAAGAGAATTAAATCTTTTACTTAAATGTGAAATTTCATTTATCTATCTGAAACAGTACTCAAGTTATATGCTTTTGAAAAATTGAAAGTAGAATAAGTTCCACTTCCGGTTATCATAAATCGCTGAAAAATTGAAACAGAACTAAAAATGTGATATAATACGTTGAAAGTGGGCTTGTGTGAACGGGAAGGAGATGGGGTCACAAATTTCAAATAACCTGTGTTGTCACTAATTTTTAAATCTGTGTATAACGCACCTTTGTTTCCACGTTGTGATGCATGCCGTTTTCGTCTACTAGTTTAACAACCTATAGTTTTTTTACTTCAGGAATAAAACACAGGTTGTTTTTGTTTTTTTAGGTATTTTCCTCTACTTAAAGCTGAAGAAACGAAATAAAAGGATACATCGTGAGAATACAAGTACTGAAACAATGTGTGATCAAACAGACAGGAGACAACAGGAAGTTAAAGTCAACTTGTTAGGTGAAAGTAGCCTCAACCAAACATCGAATGACAAGAATCAAGCAATGATATGACTTAGCCTGAGTTGGCTAGCTATCGCATTGTTTACATGCCTACTGCTGGCAAGTGTTTGCTTTCATCTAATTTTCATCAATATCATCGTCAGAGATATAAAAACACAACTCATAAAGAACTTGGACTGTTTGTGTGTGTTTGCAATGTGGTGTGTTGTTTTCACCTTTTACTTACACACCGCACTACAAGAGATGTGTCAGCAAGCCCCTGCTTCACGTCTAGTTCAAGTAGTGCCTACCCGTGGCGCAGGCGTTAACTGGATATCTGGATATCTGGATCTGCTGGATATCTGGATCTGCTGGATATCTGGATCTGCTGGATATCTGGATCTGCTGGATATTCGGATCTGCTGGATATCTGGATCTGCTCGATATCTGGATCTGCTGGATATCTGGATCTGCTGGATATTCGGATCTGCTGGATATCTGGATCTGCTGGATATCTGGATCTGCTGGATATCTGGATCTGCTGGATATTCAGGCTAAACTGCTTGGGCGAAAAAAGCTTTGTTACACTACTGAGATATAGTGTTAAAAAATGTGCTATAGCGAAATTGTCCAATAGTATTCTACCCTTAGAAACAATTTCAGTTTAGCGAAAGCTAAATAATTAACCAAATCATTAACAATAAATAAAATATATGATTATTATTATTGGATGGCTCTTGAAAATAATCTCCTGTGTATTCTAAATTCACGTTAACCATTTTTTATAATTAGGTTGGCCGCATATCACTATCACAAACACTGGTATAGAAAAAAACTGTATTTAAAAAAAAAAAATAATAATATTAAAAACGAAAGAGCAACGAACAGGACATAAGAACATTACTAATCCCCAATAATAGGCCAGAGATATAAGGTAATAAGTTTATTCAAGAGCTTCGGACACTATCATACACAGAAAAATTACGTATTTTTTTTATATTTTAAAACATAGGACATGCGATAAAATTTAAATTACATTTTTTTAAATTGCACGCATTTGAATATTTTTGTATTGAGGATAAAACATTTTTTTATCAATTCGAATATTTCAAGAATTCGATCTCTACCTGAGTTAACGAGAGAGGTCATGGAAAGTAGAACAATGAATGGCACAGCAATGGTTCACGTGATAATGTAAACATAACGTACGGGGGAAAAATGGTGAACGGTATAATTTACTTTTTTTGTTAAATTGAGGCTGTATATAAAAACAAATATGTTTAGGGGCCCACAGCCGAGCATAACTAATTTTTTTTTAGTTTAAAATTTAATTTTGGTGCATTTTCTCCTTGATGTTTGTTGGATAATCTGCAACTGGATTATCTTTATTCTACAGTCTCTATCCCAGGCCCTTCTGATACCATCAAAAACCTCTACACAAACTTTGATGTAAAAGATTGGCAAATCTACAATCTTGAGAAGCCGTTTGATATCTAGAAGGTTTTCGGTGCTTCTTTGTAACGTTGGTTAAGGGCCCAAAATCCATTGTACAATATCAATGTAAAATGTATATTTGTTAAATTGGTAGAACTACTATACTGTGCCCTACAAAATATATGCACGTTTACTTGTTCTTGCTTTTACAATAAATGTGATACTAAACTTGTTAACTTTGAATTATCTCCCTTGCGTAAGTTTTATAACAGTAATAGGCTCTGGGAAAAATAGTTTCGCCCATCCCAATCGGGCAGAAATAATAAATGCAGATTTTTCAAAATTTCAGCGTTCTATGCGTAATCTAGTCGAAAAAAAACTGGCTTTGTAATTCTGTCCGTATGTCTGTGTGTGTGCCTGTAAGCACGATAACATGAGTACCGTTACAGCTAGGTTGAAGAAATTTCATATATCAGTTTTATATCAAATTTGTAGTTCTGCATCAACTTTTCAGCGATTTTCAGCAACCGGAAGTGGAACTTATTCTACTTTCAATATTTCAAAAGCCTATAACTTTAGTACTGTTTCAGACAAATAAATAAAATGTCACATGTAAGTAAAAGATCTAATTATCTGCCTTCTGCCAAATTTTTATTAATTTCCGTTGAACGGAAGTACTAATGTACGTTATTTCCGATCTCTCAAAAAACGCATGTGAGTTTATAAAGTAATAATAATATTCCGCACAATTATGTACATTTTGTTTGGCGTTCCCTTGGTGCGCAATTCTTTTTTTTCTACGAGATTTTATTATACTTTTAAAAAGAAAAATTAAAAACGGATTAAAAATCATGTCTATATCCCGAGTTGCTATCCCCCGTAATGTTATATTAGAACGAGCAAAATGGCCCGCTGAGGAAGGATACAACGGGCGCTAGGCTGATAGTGCTGTCTCTTTTCTCTAAACTAAAACCACCCCCCCCCACACACACACCACCCCTCATCCCCCCCCCCCAACCCCCCCCCCCCCCTAAAAAAAAAAAACTTGTCTACCGTCCCATTCAACGAAATGTAATTATATACTTTTTCCAGTGTCCGCCCCCTCCCCGAAAATTCTACCCCCGCCCCCGAAAATTTCAAGTACCCCCACCCCTCTCCGGGGAGGAAAAAGTCTGAAAGAAATACTGGTGTCGCGCTTAGCCACTACCCGAAGAATTGCATTAAAGAAATTGCAAGAAAACCACTTTTTAGATTAGACACATTAATTAGGCGGTAATTTTATTATAGAGTATCGATGAAGAAATTTCTTTTGAGTTGGGGAGAGGGGGGGGCTCAGATGTTCTTAAGCGGGGATGGGGCTTCGCCCCTACCCGAAGAATTGTGTGCAAGAAACTCTTCACAGCAAACCATTTAGATTAGACAAAATTGCCTTTTTATTCAATGTTTACTCGAGAATCAATGACGTCATATTACTGTGTGCGCTCACCGGCTTGAGATTATTTTCTACTCTACCCGAAGAATTGTGTGCAAGAAACTCTTCACAGCAAACTATTTAGATTAGACAAAATTGCCTTTTTATTCAATGTTTACTCGAGAATCAATGACGTCATATTACTGTGTGCACTCTCCGGCTTGAGATTATTTTCTACTCTATGCTAAATGTGACCCGTCATACTTCGTTTTTCGAATTACTATGCATGTTTTTAATTTGCTTGTGTTTTCTCTAGAGCGTTCTTGTCAGATAGATACACAGATAGATAGATACACAGACAGCGAAACTATTAGTATTAATGTTCAAGAAAGGTTAGGGGAGATTACCCTCCCGGTTTATTTCATATCGAGTTTTACTCGTTCAAATTCAATCCAAATAAAGTTTACTGCCTTTATTTGAGCCAGCCGTTCAGCATTTGTTGTGTTATGTTTTTCTTCGACCTAAGCGTGTAGCTCTATGTTTTTCTTCGACCTAAGCGTGTAGCTCTATGTTTTTCTTCGACCTAAGCGTGTAGCTCTATGTTTTTCTTCGACATGAGCGTGTAGCTCTATTTTTTTCTTCGACCTAAGCGTGTAGCTCTATGTTTTTCTTCGACCTAAGCGTGTAGCTCTGTTTTTCTTCGACCTAAGCGTGTAGCTCTATGTTTTTCTTCGACCTAAGCGTGTAGCTCTATGTTTTTCTTCGACCTAAGCGTGTAGCTCTATGTTTTTCTTCGACCTAAGCGTGTAGCTCTATGTTTTTCTTCGACCTAAGCGTGTAGCTCTATGTTTTTCTTCGACCTAAGCGTGTAGCTCTATGTTTTTCTTCGACCTAAGCGTGTAGCTCTATGTTTTTCTTTGACCTAAGCGTGTAGCTCTATGTTTTTCTTCGACCTAAGCGTGTAGCTCAGCGCCACTTTTGTCAAGCGACTTTCTTATATATCTGAGTCACGTCGGCCTTGGTGTATGATTTGTTGTTTTATTTAATTTAGAGAACAATAAACAGAACCAAAATATACACAAGAAAATGCAGGTGTTCAAGAAACATCGATTGACTGCACCGATAGAAGAAAATGGACGCCAGAATCACAGCAATAAAACAGATACGTACTGTAGCGTGAAGAGAAACAGTAATAAAATCAACAATTTCTACAGCTAATAACAATCTGTACATTTATAAGGCAGGCCTATACCCATTGTGTCCTAAAGTTAGGATTAACGACACTATAAAAGAAAAGCATAGATAGAAAAAAAAACACAAAGATGAAAACTACTTGTACAATATCCGACAAAGTACTTTAAAAAATCATTTTTATTTAAATACAATCAGTGAATCACGTGTAATCAAACAGTTCATGTCATCAAATAATGAACTTTGTGCTCATACCACTTGTAAACATATTTGGAAAAAATTGTCGTGTCAAACAAAACCGTTAAAATAACACACATACACCCAGAATTGACTTGGTCTTCCCACCATGTATGTTCTGCTCTGTCTCCTGTTGGTCAACCTGCTCCATGCGTCTCAAGGTAAGAGATCATATCAATAATCTGTGTGGACTATCGGTTTCCTAGGCACCGTGCAGGTCATAATGATTACATAAGCTTGAAAAAGACGAAACAATGAAGTAAGACACAACAGCAAAAAACAAAAACCCACCACATTCAACTTTTATCCAGTTCAACAAACTGTAGAAATAACTTTGTCCTCAGTACTCTAATGGCTATTTAACAAGTAGTCTACTTAAAGTTATCTGTCTTTAATAACTTTATATAAAGTTACTGTTTAGTTTACTCAAATAGAAAGCATTCAATGTTAAAAGATTATAATATGGTCACTAAACAAGCATTAGTTAATGATTCGTGTAAATTATGTAATTTAGTTTCAAAAGAATATTATATTTGTATGTGGCGATTTATATTTGTTGTATTTTATACTTCTATGTTGAACAATGTATATGTTACACTGTTTATGTTACACTGTTATGTTGTTATCAAATGTGTGTAATATCTGCACACTTTTGTTAAAAGTCGTACATTTGTGTCAAATATTTCACGTATAGACAGACATTAGTTTTAATTATTCACTTATGTGTTTCATAATTTTTATGTGTCCCGCATTTCATGTAATACAATCAATGACCTCGATGAAAGGTGCATTTGTAAGTATGATGTATGTGGGTTTACAATAAATGTACGTCAGTCACTTGCAGAATGGAACAACTGCAACCGTTGTTTTGGACCAGTGTCTTATGGAGTAAACGTCCGCCTACTACTGAGGGTATGTTTGATGTCATATCGAATGCAATGTCCGTAAAATCGGATGTCATATTAAATGCCACATCTGTACATCTGATGTCATATTAAATGCCACATCCGTACATCTGATGTCATATTAAATGCCACATCCGTACATCTGATGTCATATTAAATGCCACATCTGTACATCTGATGTCATGTATGATTAAGGTGAGCTGCTGTTGAGGGATACGTTGGTCAACAACTCTGTCATATGGTCATCAATCAACAGTCGTGTCAACCTGACCTTTCATGTTCTGTCATGTCAACCAATCAACGTGACAGTTGATGACGTCAACATGACCCAGATATTCATCAGCAATTCATCTGGACCCGAGTATAGGATAGACGCCATGATAACCACGGTAACAGAGAAACATTTTAAAAGATATAAACTGTTAGTGTCTAACAAGATGGAAACAGAAGGCAGTCTTCAAATCGTATTGACGTTAAAATCAAAAGGTGGGTGCATAGACGCAAACATATTTAGGCTAGGGACTAGGGTAAGGGTTAACATATTTAGGCTAGGGACTAGGGTTAGGGTTAACATATTTAGGCTAGGGACTAGGGTTAACATATTTAGGCTAGGGTTAGGGTTAACATATTTACGCTAGGGACTAGGGTTAGGGTTAACATATTTAGGCTAGGGTTGGGGTTAACATATTTAGGCTAGGGTTAGGGTTAACATATTTAGGCTAGTGTAAGGGTTAACATATTTAGGCTAGGGACTAGGGTTAGGGTTAACATATTTAGGCTAGGGTTAGGGTTAACATATTTAGGCTAGGGACTAGGGTTAGGGCTAGGGTTGGGGCTAGGGTTAGGGCTAGGGCTAGGGCTAGGGTTGGGGCTAGGGAATTTTGTTTCCTTATTTTGCTGCAGACTTGAGCCTACGTATGATAAGGGGCTAATGTTTGCCCTATTTGTTTCAGACATAAGCCCACGTATGATAAGGGGCTAATGTTTGCCCTATTTGTTTCAGACATAAGCCCACGTATGATAAGGTGCTTCATGTTTGTCCTATTTGTTTCAGACATAAGCCCACGTATGATAAGGGCCTAATGTTCGCCTTATTTGTTTCAGACATAAGACCACGTATATGGGGCTAATGTTTGTCCTATTTGTTTCAGACATAAGCCCACGTATGATAAGGGCCTAATGTTCGCCTTATTTGTTTCAGACATAAGACCACGTATATGGGGCTAATGTTTGTCCTATTTGTTTCAGACATAAGCCCACTTATGATAAGGGCCTAATGTTCGCCTTATTTGTTTCAGACATAAGCCCACGTATGATAAGGGCCTAATGTTCGCCTTATTTGTTTCAGACATAAGCCCACGTATGATAAGGGCCTAATGTTTGTCCTATTTGTTTCAGACATAAGCCCACTTATGATAAGGGCCTAATGTTCGCCTTATTTGTTTCAGACATAAGCCCACGTATGATAAGGGCCTAATGTTTGTCCTATTTGTTTCAGACATAAGCCCACGTATGATAAGGGGCTAATGTTTGCCTTATTTGTTTCAGACATAAGCCCACGTATGATAAGGGGCCTCATGTTTGCCCTGTTTGGGTCTCTGGTCCTGGTCCTCACCCTTGTCTCAGCCCTCGTCTACAACCTCGTCATGCGCAAAGTGAAAGGTGAGATGGTAGAGAAATGTATTTTTTATAGACAGCTGGTTTGATTAGCTTGTTTGATTGGATGCACTGTCTATATGGGCACTTGGTTTTATTGGCTGGTTTGATTGGATGCGCTGTCTATATCGGCACTTGGTTTTATTGGCTCATTGGTTGGGTTGTCTATATGAGCACTTGGTTTTATTGGCTCATTGGTTGGGTTGTCTATATGGGCACTCGGCTTTATTGGCTCGTGGTTGGGTTGTCTATATGGGCACTTTGTTGTATTGGCTCATTGGTTGGGTTGTCTATATGGGCACTTTGTTTTATTGGCTCATTGGTTGGGTTGTCTATATGGGCACTTTGTTGTATTGGCTCATTGGTTGGGTTGTCTATATGGGCACTTTGTTTTATTGGCTCATTGGTTGGGTTGTCTATATGGGCACTTTGTTGTATTGGCTCATTGGTTGGGTTGTCTATATGGGCACTTTGTTTTATTGGCTCATTGGTTGGGTTGTCTATATTGGCAGCAGGTACTCTGGGCTTGATGGCTTTATAAACTTTTTGTAAGGATGACTCATTGGTCTGGCTGCGTGGATAGCACAATGGTGTAAATGTATGGCAGAAGGACCCGGTTGAAAATGGATTGTAATTCTACTAAAATAATGTTTGTGTGTTTACAAGGTGGGAACTTGACGCTAGAGACAACTACAAGCCGGAGGTCTGAGAGCTGTCGTTTATGACATGTGGATTCTACGTGTTATTTGCAGATGTTTAGAGAGTATCTGCAGATGTTTATATAGTATCTGTCATTTATTATATATAACATCTTATTTGTAAATTCTACACGAAATCTGGCCCTTATAACATGTAGATGTAATTTGTACATGTTACATGTACATGTACATGTAATTCGTTTGATTTATATGTCATGTTACTTTTACGTTATCAATTATAGTTGTTTTATTTAAGTATAGATTATACACTTTCCATTTATAGTACTTATACAATATTTATACTTTATATATTGTAATACTAACTAAATAAGACATCTATAAAACCTAATTTAAAACCACAACAATAACAAATTAGCAAAGTTGAATTTATCACTTAAGGGGCCACTCCACTGTAAAAACCAAACTAGCCCACAGCAGAGATAAGCAAGTAACAATATACTATTATTAATAGTTAGCAACTGTAAATAAAAATTCCACATTCTGAGGACCTAATTATTCATGGTTGCCATGGTAACGGCGGCCATCTTGAAAAAACACCTTTTTTACAAATCTAATGTTTCAATAATGTGAACAAATAATGATGGTTTTATTTCTGTTTAATTAACTATAACCATTCTATGTATCGTACAAGTGTACTTGAAACTGTTTTCGATTCTAGGAATATGAAATTTATTAAAACATCAATTTCCTAAAAATATTTTTTTCCAAGCTTACTTAGCATTTTTTACATGTAGAGGCCCCTCAAGGGGGAAGTATCACCTTGACAAAGGAAAGTACAAAAAAATTCGCCAAAAAAAACTATTATACATCCACCATACATTTTTTTTACCATAGTGATTATGGCGAATCAGCTATAAAGCAGCATATAAATGAGGGCCTATGATGCAAAAAGAAAATAAAAAAAATAATTTGATCCAAAAATGATAAGTATTTAGTTTTTAAATTTACAGTTTGCCTATAATACAATTTTTTTTAATTGATAATTAGCTGTCTAAAAATGTTATCTATGACCGGAACTATAAGAATTGCTTCATGATAAAATTAGAAAATTTTAGGCTTTTTCAAATCTGACTAGAATAAGATAATACGCATTGAAATTGTAAAAATTCTACAAAATACAAATTTTACTAGAACGGTATGTTGTAGTTCCAGCTATTGATAACACTATTAGAAAACTAAACACCAAATTTCAAATGCCTTTGTTAATGTCTTGATTGTGAATAAAAAAAATGTATTTTTAAAAATATGTTACTTATTTTAGTTTTACGTAGGCCTACGTAGTTTTCCAAATTACAACCAGATTTTTTCTGAAAATCGCCACAATGGGGACATATAGTATTATCTATAGCCTGAACTAAAGGTATTGCATTGTGATGAAAACCGAAAATGATATAGGTTTTTATATTTTCACACAAATATGGATAAAAATGAAAATGTTAAAAATATATAATTCATTTTTTTTTAAACCTCAACACTTTTATTTTCAATAAAACAATACATGTTTGGGAATGTCTTAGTCTGTAGAAGCAATCTGGAATTTTACAGCAACAAAATTTACATACAAGTGATAAGGTAATAAATATTTACATGATGGCAAACATGATTGTGGTGAAGCTAAGTTTGATAAGTACAAAAATCAGATAGGTAACAATAGTAAGGGGTTATATTAAAATAAGTGAACGGTAGTGAAGACTCGTGGATCCGAGAAAAATAAGTTGTTATGGGGACTAATCCGTATAGAATAAGGCTATACATTTTTTTTCTAATTTGATTCTTTCGTTGAGACTTTAATTATAGTTATAAGCTGTACAAGCTAGCTAACGGAATAAAACCATTTCGATTAATTAATCGCTTAAAAAATTAATGTAAGAAAAATTAAACAACCATTCATTTTACAGAGCTAATAATCATTAATATTATAAAAATATATCTTCTGTCTTAAAAATTGAAAATTAAATTATTTTCAGCAATATAGATTAATACAGTGGGTTGTTGAGTTTAATTGTGATCATAGAGTATGAGTGTTATACAATTCAGTATAGAAAACATTTGGGGAAAGATTACTGAACGATATAGGATTGTGGAACATAGAATATATTAGTATATTATTATAGAATCTTAGCTATACCGCAAGAAATACATATTATGATTGCAAAATACAAAAAAAATAATATAAAGGCCCATTTTTTTTAATATTTTTTTTTGCAAATTTTTTTACAAATATAAAATTACAGAATACGTAATAACTATTTTTATCGAATTTAGGGTTATGTTTATGGTTAAGGTTAGGGTTATGGTTAGGAATAGGGTTAGGGTTAGGGTGAGGGTAAGGGTAAGGGTTAGGGTTCAGGTTCAGGTTCGGATTAGGATTAGGGTTAGGGTTAGGGTTCGGGTTCGGGTTAGGGTTAGGGTTCGGGTTAGGGTTAGGGTTGCTGTCTTTTTTTTCTATTTTCCATTTTCTATTTTTCCAGTTTCGAATTTTCTATTTTTATTTTTTTTAAATTTTCAATTTATTAATTTTCAATTTGTTAATTTTCAATTTTTTTTATTTTTAATTTGTTAATTTTACATTTGTTAAGTTTACATTTGTTAAGTTTACATTTTTAGTTTTTACTTTTTCTATTTTTCCATTTACAATTTTTACTTTTTAAAATTTTCAGTTTGTAATTTTTCCGTCTTTTTTTCCATTTTTATTTTTTACTTTTTAGTGCAATTTCCTTACAGGAATTGCGATTATTAACTCGTCATTTCTGGATGGATATGTGTCCGCAGCTTTAGTCCGCAGCTTTAAGTCGTATCTCCTCCTCAACGAAGCAATATCGAGGACTAGTTCCAAAAGCAAATATGTTAAGCAAGTTCCGAGGATGATTGTGGGCCAAAAAAATTCCCGGAATTCCTTCCTGGATTTCCCGGAAAAGCCAAAAAACCTCGAAAAAATGCAGTTTTTGGATGGATGGATGTGTGTCCGCAGCTTTAAGTCGTATCTCCTCCTCAACGAAGCAATATCGAGGACTAGTTCCAAAAGCAAATATGTTAAGCAATTTCCGAGGATGATTGTGGGCCGAAAAAAATCCCGGAATTCCTTCCTGGATTTCCCGGAAAAGCCAAAAAAAAAAACTCGAAAAAATGCAGTTTTTGGATGGATGGATGTGTGTCCGTAGCTTTAAGTAGTATCTCCTCCTCAACGAAGCAATATCGAGGACTAGTTCCAAAAGCAAATATGTTAGAACAATATTGCTGAAGAAATTTTTCAAAAATATCCTTTCGTTCGGTCACAACATTTTTTTTTTAAATTACATTATACATAATACAATTTAGTACTATATAGCAAAATCGGTAGTGGAAGGCGAAGGAGGACGAGGGTAAATCATGTGACCTGGCTGGCTTAGCAGCGAACTCCGCGAGCCGCAAGCGAAGGAGGAGGAGCTAGTTTAAAAACAAACTAGATCACAATCTATTTTTAGACTATTATTTGACCTCTAGGTTCTTTGGACAAACAAACATGTCTTCCATGGAAGGTTTAAAATTGTTATGGAAAACATAAGGAAATTACGCTTAAATTGTCACTAGACTTTTTTATTAACTTGTTTTATTTTTCCATTATTTTTTACTTTTTTTATTTTTCAGTTTTTTTTATTTTTCCATTTTTTTTATTTTTCCATTTTTTTATTTTTCCATTTTCTCTTTTCCTACGGTTAAGGTTAAGGTTAAGGTTCGGGTTAGTGTTAGTGTTAGGGTTAGGGTTAGGGTTAGGGTTAGGGTTAGGGTTAGGAGGTTAGGGTTAGGGTTAGGGTTAGGGTTAGGGTTAGGGTTAGGGTTAGGAGGTTAGGGTTAGGGTTAGGGTTAGGGTTAGGGTTAGGAGGTTAGGGTTAGGGTTAGGGTTAGGAGGTTAGGGTTAGGGTTAGGGTTAGGGTTAGGGTTAGGGTTAGGGTTAGGGTTAGGGTTAGGGTTAGGGTTTAGGGTTAGGGTTAGGGTTAGGGTTAGGGTTAGGGTTAGGGTTAGGGTTAGGGTTAGGGTTAGGGTTAGGGTTAGGGTTAGGGTTAGGGTTAGGGTTAGGGTTAGGGTTAGGGTTAGGGTTAGGGTTAGGGTTAGGGTTAGGGTTAGGGTTAGGGTTAGGGTTAGGGTTAGGGTTAGGGTTAGGGTTAGGGTTAGGGTTAGGGTTAGGGTTAGGGTTAGGGTTAGGGTTAGGGTTAGGGTTAGGGTTAGGGTTAGGGTTAGGGTTAGGGTTAGGGTTAGGGTTAGGGTTAGGGTTAGGGTTAGGGTTAGGGTTAGGGTTAGGGTTAGGGTTAGGGTTAGGGTTAGGGTTAGGGTTAGGGTTAGGGTTAGGGTTAGGGTTAGGGTTAGGGTTAGGGTTAGGGTTAGGGTTAGGGTTAGGGTTAGGGTTAGGGTTAGGGTTAGGGTTAGGGTTAGGGTTAGGGTTAGGGTTAGGGTTAGGGTTAGGGTTAGGGTTAGGGTTAGGGTTAGGGTTAGGGTTAGGGTTAGGGTTAGGGTTAGGGTTAGGGTTAGGGTTAGGGTTAGGGTTAGGGTTAGGGTTAGGGTTAGGGTTAGGGTTAGGGTTAGGGTTAGGGTTAGGGTTAGGGTTAGGGTTAGGGTTAGGGTTAGGGTTAGGGTTAGGGTTAGGGTTAGGGTTAGGGTTAGGGTTAGGGTTAGGGTTAGGGTTAGGGTTAGGGTTAGGGTTAGGGTTAGGGTTAGGGTTAGGGTTAGGGTTAGGGTTAGGGTTAGGGTTAGGGTTAGGGTTAGGGTTAGGGTTAGGGTTAGGGTTAGGGTTAGGGTTAGGGTTAGGGTTAGGGTTAGGGTTAGGGTTAGGGTTAGGGTTAGGGTTAGGGTTAGGGTTAGGGTTAGGGTTAGGGTTAGGGTTAGGGTTAGGGTTAGGGTTAGGGTTAGGGTTAGGGTTAGGGTTAGGGTTAGGGTTAGGGTTAGGGTTAGGGTTAGGGTTAGGGTTAGGGTTAGGGTTAGGGTTAGGGTTAGGGTTAGGGTTAGGGTTAGGGTTAGGGTTAGGGTTAGGGTTAGGGTTAGGGTTAGGGTTAGGGTTAGGGTTAGGGTTAGGGTTAGGGTTAGGGTTAGGGTTAGGGTTAGGGTTAGGGTTAGGGTTAGGGTTAGGGTTAGGGTTAGGGTTAGGGTTAGGGTTAGGGTTAGGGTTAGGGTTAGGGTTAGGGTTAGGGTTAGGGTTAGGGTTAGGGTTAGGGTTAGGGTTAGGGTTAGGGTTAGGGTTAGGGTTAGGGTTAGGGTTAGGGTTAGGGTTAGGGTTAGGGTTAGGGTTAGGGTTAGGGTTAGGGTTAGGGTTAGGGTTAGGGTTAGGGTTAGGGTTAGGGTTAGGGTTAGGGTTAGGGTTAGGGTTAGGGTTAGGGTTAGGGTTAGGGTTAGGGTTAGGGTTAGGGTTAGGGTTAGGGTTAGGGTTAGGGTTAGGGTTAGGGTTAGGGTTAGGGTTAGGGTTAGGGTTAGGGTTAGGGTTAGGGTTAGGGTTAGGGTTAGGGGTTAGGGTTAGGGTTAGGGTTAGGGTTAGGGTTAGGGTTAGGGTTAGGGTTAGGGTTAGGGTTAGGGTTAGGGTTAGGGTTAGGGTTAGGGTTAGGGTTAGGGTTAGGGTTAGGGTTAGGGTTAGGGTTAGGGTTAGGGTTAGGGTTAGGGTTAGGGTTAGGGTTAGGGTTAGGGTTAGGGTTAGGGTTAGGGTTAGGTGTAGGGTTAGGGTTAGGGTTAGGGTTAGGGTTAGGGTTAGGGTTAGGGTTAGGGTTAGGGTTAGGGTTAGTAGTGTTAGGGTTAGGGTTAGGGTTAGGGTTAGGGTTAGGGTTAGGGTTAGGGTTAGGGTTAGGGTTAGGGGTTAGGGTTAGGGTTAGGGTTAGGGTTAGGGTTAGGGTTAGGGTTAGGGTTAGGGTTTAGGGTTA